AAAAATAAATCATTTATAAAATTATAGCTTTAACTCTAGCTTAAAGAATATCTATGTCCGATCTAGGACACTATAGCATAATACGATACTCTTTACAGAGTTATGTCCCTTTCTAGAATGTAAGTTATAGATTTTAAATACTTATGGTCTTTATGTTTACGTGATTTATTTTTTTCATCTAAACAATAATAGCCAATGTAACTTTTATTTTAAGAAACTTTGGACGAAAAGGAATTTTTTTAAAGTTTAGTAGAAAAAAATGACAATTTATAGATCCTTGATTTAAATTATAGTAAATAATCAAAGCGGTCCCCTTAGGACTGTTGGTATATAAAGAAGATAATATGTCATTATACTATATAACTTCGATCACCTTGTTTTAATGTTATCCTGTAGATCACATTCGCATTTAAAAATATCTTTCGTGGAAGACCAAACTGATTAAATTGTAAATAGTAAAAATGAATAAAAATATATAATTTGATATTTGAAAGTTAATGATGTACCAAATGTAAATTCCGTGTGAAAAGTATACACATATACTTAACTTTCCTATCAATAATCTTGTGTACAAACAGTACATTTCAGATACTAGATGCAGGACTTGTGAAATAAAACAAAGGGCTAATTGCAGCCATATGTCTGCCGATAAGGCCACTGTTGTTTAATTTCAAGTCTATTTCAGGGTTTTTTTTTATGGACATGTATTGAAATCTTACGAGATTGTACAAACTTAGCACTGCACATCAACACCAAATACAGAGTAAGAGTGGAAAGCTAACGATTCACACATTTTATCGTTATTCAGTAAAACAAAAAATAAAATTAAAACAATTTTAAAAAATCAAGCAGAAGAAATGTTGCCCCCATATGCAGACGTCTCTTTTACGCTACGAATATTATGCAACAAAATTATAAAAGTTGTATGCTTCTATAAATTCTTCATCAGTTGAGCCCACCTCCTTACATGTACCCCACCCCATCTCAAAAGAGTACTGAAATTGCTTCCAAAGGCTTGATTGTATTTCAGTATCTTTGATTTGCTGAAGAATTTTCAAGAGATCTAGAGTAATTTATTGATTCTGGAAAATCTTATAATAATGTTGTAAAAGAGTGATCAGATTGAAATCATTGAATGGATTCTAATTTCACACCTTTGAAAATATATTGTAAAATTAGCCTGAAGGGAATATTCTCACACCTTTTTTTTCCCAGAACTTCAATGTAAACAGTGATATACACATATATTCAACAATTCATCTCCACACCGACTGATGATGACTCGAGCCATTTCCTGTTTATTATCAATTTGTGTATATACTTTGTTTTGGAGTACCTACTCTAAAAATTATTTTAAAACATTTTCCAAGAAAAAACAACAACATTTTAAAGTGTTGATTAATGGACATACAAAAATATGTATAGTTATTAATAGTTTTTTTTTTTACTGCAAAACAATGAAGATGACAATGGCTAATAATTAGTAAATATAGTTAACCTTGTTAATTAAGTTTAGGTAACAACATGTTGGACTAATTATGTTGTTAGTGCTATTATCACATGAAAACAGTTATTGGTATCTGTTTCAAAAAAAAAAAAAATTCAAAATACATGTATTTGAATGTACACATGAGGCTTCATGGTTTGCTCATTCAAAGATCTGTTTCAACTCATTTTCATAATTAAAAACCATCATTTATTCAACATTTTATTTTTTTCTTATTTAACAGATTAAAAATATATATTCATAAAATATACTTTTCTAACATTTCAATTTAATTTTACCAATTTATATATATGCATACATATAATATGACCTTTCCTATTACAATGCATTCAGTACTGTCTTTTATGGTGCAGATTACAATCACTTACAGAATTTAGACTCAATTTACCAGAAATTGTATCTTTCATTTCATAACTAATTGTTTGGGAAATTTAATGATAATAATAAGTGTATAAATTAAATGAAGAATATCTAACTGTGCCATATTTCATCGTAAGTTTTTGTATGAAGAAAAACTATATAGGTATACATCTCAGCTCTTTGATTCATTCCTTGAAAAAATTATCAATATAATTACAATCCTTTAAATTTAAAAATGACCCAAAATTTAAAGTTATACTGATATAGAAAAGAGTAGAAATTCTGATATTGTAAAAATTAAGACTTCAATTTTCATAGGGAACATTTGCCATGTTAATTAAACTCACCTAATCATACTGGTGTGTTCTCTTAAATGGCTATATATAACTTTTTTTATTTCTCAATGAAATTTTGCCAATTTGGAATTATTTTGCTTGCAATAGCATGTACTTTCTAAATGTCAAATGATAAATTGTAAAAGGACTGAAATTTTCATAGGGAGAATCCATCATCATATTATACTCTGTCAATCGTACTGGTGTGTTCTCTTGAATGGCCATAACTTTTTTATTTCTGAATGAAATTTTGCCAGTTTGATATTATTTTGCTTGCAATAGCATGTACTTTCTAAATGTCAAATGATAAATTGTAAAAGGACTGACATTTTCATAGGGAGAATCCATCATCATATTATACTCTGTCAATCGTACTGGTATGTTCTCTTGAATGGCCATAACTTTTTTATTTCTGAATGAAATTTTGCCAATTTGATATTATTTTGCTTGCAATAGCATGTACTTTCTAAATGTCAAATGATAAATTGTAAAAGGACTGACATTTTCATAGGGAGAATCCATCATCATATTATACTCTGTCAATCGTACTGGTGTGTTCTCTTGAATGGCCATAACTTTTTTATTTCTCAATGAAATTTTGCCAGTTTGATATTATTTTGCTTGCAATAGCATGTACTTTCTAAATGTCAAATGATAAATTGTAAAAGGACTGAAATTTTCATAGGGAGAATCCATCATCATATTATACTCTGTCAATCGTACTGGTGTGTTCTCTTGAATGGCCATAACTTTTTTATTTCTCAATGAAATTTTGCCAGTTTGATATTATTTTGCTTGCAATAGCATGTACTTTCTAAATGTCAAATGATAAATTGTAAAAGGACTGAAATTTTCATAGGGAGAATCCATCATCATATTATACTTTGTCAATCGTACTGGTGTGTTCTCTTGAATGGCCATAACTTTTTTATTTCTCAATGAAATTTTGCCAGTTTGATATTATTTTGCTTGCAATAGCATGTACTTTCTAAATGTCAAATGATAAATTGTAAGAGGACTGAAATTTTCATAGGGAGAATCCATCATCATGGTATACTCCATCGATAGGAATTGGTGTGTTCACTTAATTAAATTACCATAACTTTTTGTACTTTTCAATGAAATTTAGCCAGTTTGGAATAGATTTTTTTGTCATAGCATTCACTTAGTAAATCAAACCTAATAAATGAATTTGTGTATATTTTTTGAAACATTAAGAAAATGACCAATGGGAGACTTTTTTTCTACTCAAGACCAGGTTTTAAAATTTAAATAAATTATTTGAAAAGGGAGAGCTTTATCTGCCTTATAAATACAGTCATAATTACTATTCAAAAATAGAAATTAAGTTTTTAAAGTCAGATACCTGCATGCATATAACATATGAATTTATTTGACCCCTAAATTCATCTGTGAAACCTGAGTGGACTACAAGTTTTCTCCTTTTATTTCATGCAAATTCACTTGGCTGAGTACTTTTATTTGATAACGCTCTCCGAGTGAAAACGCTACCATGATTAAAAATAATTCAACATTCATTTAAAGTAGAAAAATATAGTCGTTATAGAACAATTGAATACTTTTTTTAGAATGAAACGAAACGCCCGGAGTGAATCCAAATAGTCGCGACGAATCCACCCAATACCGATCAAGATCTCCACTGCGCTTTGTATTCGTAGTAAAATTACACATTCTGTAAATGCATTGTTGCAACTGTGATGCAAGAACAGGGAAAGATGCAGTCTGCTGAAAGGATTAATTCACGTACTTTTAAATCAATTTAGTCTCATTTATATTCATTTTATTGAGCTATTGGTTTAATACGTAATGCTTGAATTAGTCCACAATCACCTCAGCGCAATTAATAAGTCAAAAAGAAAGGTGCTTTAGTTCAGTTCAGTTATGGAATTCCCTCCTATGTATAAGGAGCACCCGAGAAGGTGGTTTCATAAAATACATTTAAAGGTCGGAAGTATTTCAGCACTTATAATTATAACCCATTACAAACCTATTTCAATGATATTTACAAAAATATTTTAGTTACCATTCATTATGAAATCATTTCAAGATAGATCCATGCAGAAGTCTATTTAAGGTTTATGATAAACACTGATAAAAGTAAAGAATAACAATTTTATATCTAGACCACAGCATGTATATAATATGACAGTGAAGTTTTTTTTCATAGTGATATAAAGCTAGAGTAGAAATATTAAAGTAATGATTTTAAAATGTTAAGTTTGCAATGAATTATATGGCAAAAAGCTTTCAAAAATAATTTTGACCCTTGACTGTATTAGATTAAAAGAAGATGGACTGTTTTTCCCTGTACATTAAAGAGATAAAAACAATTTCCATTCTCCTGTAGGATAAAATATTCTATAAATCATTTTGTTAGAGAACTTTTAATCCTATTAGTGACAATTATAGAACTTCTTGTCCTATTTCACAAATTATGGGATAAAAAATCCCATGTAAGGTTAAAAATGGGAGTTTTGCTTCTATAGGAGAAAAAATCCCACAGAACTCATTTTTCTCCCACAGAATAATGGTGGGATATTAGTTAGGAGAGAAAATCCCACCATAATCCCATGGGATTTCTTGATTGCAGGTGTGATATCTTTTAATCTAGAAGATATTCAGGTGTAAAGGTTAGTCCATGTTGTGCGATTAAAAAAATCCCACCAGATGACATAAATGGTTTCCATGTATCTTTGGAAAAGTGGTTGGCGAAAGTCCGGACAAATGTCGTGTCCGGAGTTAAATGTCGCACTGTTATAATCATAAACAAGACTTACATGTAAAGGAAAGAGTTCCTTCTGCAAAAACTGGTACTACAGAAATTACCATTAATCGGAAAAAACCTATGATGGGGATCATCTTTTGTCCGAAATTTTCAGTCTGAAAATGAAACTAATATTTATACGGATGCGTAATTTGTAGAATCAACAACAGAAGTAATTACTCTGATTGGTAACTACCTCTTGCACTAGGGCTGGGACGATACAACATTTTCTATATCGATACGTATCACGATACAATATGTATCACGAAGTCGATATGTTAAATTACAGTGTAGAACTTTATATTTTTTTGTATTTAAATGAACAAAACATTTCTTCACAAAAAAAGAAAAAATTATTTAAAGAAATTGTATATCTGTTGTAAAACAAAATTATTTTACACAAGTGGTGTTTATTATAATGTATTTCATATTTATATTTATATTTTGCTTATTTATTTTATAAATCTAACCCAAAATGTGAAGTAAACAAAGAAAAACATAAGTCAGAACTTTTTTTGCAATATTTCGATATTTCTTCATACGTATCGATATGCGTATCCTCCTCACATTGAATCAATATTATAAATATATCGTCCCAGTCCTAGCCTGCATACATGTCTTTTCTACTTTACAGCAGTTATTAAATGAAAATCAAATCCAATAAGGTACCTGCTCCGGTTATCTTTTCATTAGAGGGCGCCACAGGCAAACACGGTCCTATATCGGAACACCCTCGCGCCTTATCTGTAGTTACCGATCGAAGAAAAACGTAAACAATCTGCTGTCAAACACGTGCCTATAAAACATGCCAGAAACTTCTTGTTGTGTGCCGAATTGTAGTAATCGGGGTGGTCATATATTTCCAACAGACCCGTTAAGAAGAAAAGCATGGATACATGCAATAAAACGGGGTGAGACTCGTTTCCAAACCTGGACTCCGTCAACTCATGCTGTTGTTTGCAGAGCACATTTTAAATCAGACGACTATTTGACGGAAACTCAGCATGGTAACATTTTTTTATCATCTTGAAATCTTTTTGATAAACACATGTGCAAAGTAATGTTTATAGATTTTATTTTGTGCAATATTTATGTCTCATTTACTTAGATAAAATGCACAAATAATATCGGATCGTCTGTTTACTAGTATCTGTTTACGTCTCATTCGAAGTAATCTGAAAATGCTACAGAAACTGCCACATGCAGACTCCCCACTGACAACTTCAATTACTGGTCACTTATTACAACCCATTATCTCTTAATAGTATAAACACAAGGCATGTCTAAAAGAACACATGCTGTTGTCTGATAATTTATGCATATCTGCTAGTACGAGATACTGTGTTTTGACATTGATGTTTAATTAGCACTCTGCTTACAAACAAATTTGACAGATTTCAGTTGAATTGAGCAACACATGTGCATATTTCATAAATATCAATTTCATAATAGTATTAAATATATTTAGTAACTTAATTTGCTTTTCTATGAAAACTTAAACTTCTTATTACAAAGGAATATTTAAGTATGCATAACATATACAAAATTTAGTGCTTCATTAAATTCATAAATAAATAAATTAAAACCATTTAAAATTATTGAATAAATCATTTAATTTTTAGGAACTACTCCTTTAAGTAAAAGATTAAAGAAAAGTGCAGTGCCAAGCATTTTTTTCCTGGATAGAACCAAGTCAACATTCACTTGAACGAGCTGACAGAGCCAAGTCTAGAGGCATCAAACGAAAACTAGCAGATGAATTTTCTTCTTTGCCTTCTGTAGATGAAGTCATCTATACGTCAACTGATGATCTGCAAGTATCTGAGGAAACTGTTTCTAGCTCTACCAAAATTTTTGCCGGGGTTGCTGCTAAATGAGGGGACCCCAGACTGACACAGATTCCACTGTCGTAAACTGTGCGTCCCGAAATTTCCTGATACTTCTTCACAGCTTCTTTTTCATATTTTCTTCCATGAAGAATAGGTTTGGCATTAATTTTTTGTCCCTTTGTTGTTAGGAAGTCGGCAAGTTTCACTTTATCAGTTCGATCAGTTGCTTTGCATATTCTACCGAACACTGAGGAATGCAGACGTTTGCAACGTTCCTCAAACCAAAGGTCATTGGCCGCTTGTGTTGCTGTTTTTACCATAACTTGACGTGCACTCTCCTCTGAAATTTCTGAAACATTCAAAAGTTTCAAATGAGTCTCACTAAATGTATCTTTCAGATAGTCATGGTCCAGGTTGTAAGCTCTCGTATTTACTGGTTCATACAGCTGAAAAATTGGGGTCCTACTAATACCTTGGTAATTCAGACACACATTTCTAAAGTGAGACTGGTATCCCGGATTGCCTCTAAATTCAACTGGACGAGGGCCATAGTCGTTATTACATACTTCGTCACAGCCTGGCATGTCCAGTTGTCTTGCTTTCAAAGGGCTTCCTTTATGGGGCTTAGCACGATGAAAAGTTTGTAATCTCTGTGTGCAGGTGAGTTCCGTGTTATAAGTCCCATGCTTAACAAAATCTGCACATGAAAAAAGTACAGCACAGACATGTTTGCAATGTGCATCGGGTCCCATACCTGCTGCACACTCACATTGAGACTCCACAACACTTCTGTCTTTTCCAATCATAATATCAACAACGTACTTCACAGACTTCATCATTGAAGCTTTTACACTGCTTCTAACAAACCAATGTGAATCATGAAATGTCACCCTCACATACTGGATAAACCCATCGTTATACATATCCCTTCCTTTCTTATCAGTTGTCTTATTAAACTTTGACAAGAAAGTGGAAATTTCTGCCTCGGTGCATCCTGGAAAAATCTTGTCGCCATGAAGGTCCTTGTAGAGTTGTGGATCTGGCGTCATCATCATAAATTCAGGTCCAGAGACATCGGTCCTAGCACAATGTGCATTTCTTCTGTAGGCTTCAAGTCTGTAATGAAATAAGCTTTTATAATTCTTTTTCATGCATTTTTTTTGTGTAAAACAGAGTGGAAACAATCAGAAAATGATAATACTGCATCATAATAAAAATGTAGAGAAGTATTCCTATTTTACTGCAAGCAACAAGCAATATGACATCGACGTTGGAATTAATGAGGAAATTCGAGTTAAAAATCTAATACGCTAAAGCTACAGATTATTTAAGAATTACTTTCTTAAAGCAGGTAATTCTGTTATTCACTATTGAATTGACCAATTTTAAACCTTTTACACACCATTGATAATGATTTACTGTGTTATTAATAATGTTTACATTGGATTTGCATGAAAACATCGTATGTTTATTTACCTCTCCACAAGTCCCCACTTCCTTCCTGATTTCTTTGCTCCAAACTTTTCTAACTCTTTCCTAAGTTCGGGTATGGTCATATCACCACAATTAGATGCCATAGTAAGTAAAAGATAGTAATTGAAACGTGTATGATCTGCGATATCGAATTCGAGAATGGATGCTGATTATCCATCTTCTCAGGCTATATCAATTTTGTAATGGACCGCATTTTCCTGTGGCGCCCCCTACCGATACAAGATAAGATAACCGACTCCGGTTCCCTATTCCACTCATTCATAGGTACAGAAATAATTTTGTACACTTTTGTCCCATTTTACACGATTATTAAACGTCCAAAAACTATACTTCGAAGATTTTTTTTTCTGTTATGTTGTACACATATACCGGTACATGTAAATATATATATGTACTGGTATATACATAAAGGAGGCATTTTAATGATATAACAATACTAATTATTTTAAATAGACTTATAATTTCTCTACGAAATATATTCTAATCTATATAATCCGTGTAGAAGGGCGTCGACTTAAATTTATGTTCAAAAGTATAACTGAATCTTTCATTGAATTCTTTTAAATCAATTTAAGTAAATATAGTCATTTTGGGTAATTTGAATCACCTTTTACATTTTTTACTGCAAACAGTTTGATTAACAAGTATTTATAGGTTGTTTGGTATTAAAGGAAAGTCAGTTCTATGAAAAATCAGATCTGCATCACAAGGTGAGTTGATCTTCGAAATAGCGACCTTGACGAGGATTATATTTACACCACCTTTATAGTGTATTATGGGTCACTTCCGGGTATTTCGAATCACCACAATTATACAGGTAAAAAGATAACTGATTACAACATTATAATTAATGAATTTGTAGGTATCCAGGGGGTATCGTTTATCCAAAAATAAAAAGAATTATTTACTTGTTTATTGTTAATAAATAATTATTATGTAATTTTTTTAAATTATAGTGAAGTTTCATTTGAATGCAAAACAATTTAATTTGAAAATTACTTAGTTCATCATAACTCTGAGTATGGTACAAAAAATAATAATGGTAATAAAAAAAATGTATGAAAATGAATTAAACCAACTCATGTTTAGGTATTAAACATTTATTAAGTATGACATATAATTTGTATAACTTATTGTATACATTGATCAATATATTTTTTACATTTTACAATGTCTTGGTCTGAGATAAAAATACAAATAAGGTAATAGCTTTATAACCGCATAAAGAGATTTGCTCAGCACTTCGCAGAGCTGCAGGCTTTATCGCTGCGAGTTGCTTAGTAATGCATCTGGAAGGGATACTGAGATTACTTATTATTGAATAAAATATTTTTTTTTTTTATTGAATCAAGGATCTTAATACGGAAGCCAATGTAGGACCTATAAAAAAATTTGAATTGTCGAATTTGTTAAATCGTAATAACGGTTGAATATTCGTAAAATTCAACAAATTTATTATAACGAATTCAATTCGTTTCAACGAATTCTAAAATTTGTAATAACGAATTATATTCATTTAAACGAATTCTTAAATGTGTTTTAATGAATTAATTCATTTAAAGGATTTCGACAATTCGTTATATCGAATTCAATAATACTTATTTATAGGTTCTAAATGTCGAATTTGATTAAATGACTTAATTCGTTATAACAAATTTTAGAATTTGTTTAAACGAATTTAATTACTTTTGTTATTACAGATTTGAGAATTCGTTAAAACGAATTCAGTCTCTTACATCTGTATAACAAACTTTTGAATTCTTTATAACAAATTCAAAAAATTGTTAATAAAAACCTATTAAATTCATTTTAACATATTCGTTGAATTCGCTGTATCGAATTCAAAAATACATTTTGATAGTTCGTAAATTGGCTTCTGCAAAGGATCGGGTAAGAATGTATTAAAATATAGAGGGTTTTTTTTAAAGAAGAAGATCAATCAATTTGCTCACGTGATAAGTTTACGTATAAACGCCTTCAGCATTTATGGAAATTATCAAGCGAACAAACTGATTGATCACATCATAAAACAAAACAAAAAAAAAAACAAACAAACAAACAAACAAACAAAAACAAAAAAACTAGACAGTTATTCCTCAAGTATACCCGGGCTAGTCTTAAAAGAGCTTCCTTTGTCATATTGTTACTTTCATATCTCTTGCACTCAAAGAATACCAATGTTATAAAAATATCGAGCCTACATGTACACACGAGATTCGAAGTTGCCCAAATTGTAGGGGGCTACAAATGCGGCAATAACTTTTAAAATTTGGGGGGGAGGGGGGGTATGTTCATGGAAGCTTATAAAATTCCGTTCTATGTATCAATCATGTGTCATCCATCAACAATACCACGGCATCGATGAGAAAAACTGTGCAACATTTTTTTCTACACAGGCATATCTTCGATAAGGAGAACAAGGTAAAAGTAATGAATTAAAATATTAATTTTTTTTTACCTCTTTATTTTTTGTATGGTATATACCTTGCTGTTAATAACTGACTTAAACGCTGAAGAAGGGCTGAAAAAGAATTAAAAATTGAGAGCGATATATATTTCAACGTAGAACAAAAAAGGATAAGATAAAAATATGCATCCACGGCTAGTAAATAGATTTATAACGTTTACGGCTTACCATACAAGCTTGACCTTTATCCGCAACCAGATAATATATTAAGGTCTAAATATCTGTTCCAGCCTGTAGATTTTTCAACAATAAATAAATCGGAATTTCTAATCAAAACATGAAGATCTTAAATCTTGCACAAAATTTAAGTAAATGGTTCAAATTACTGACAAACTTACTATTTTACGACGTTCGATGATCCCTTGGTTATGGAAAATATGTATGGCTGGCCGTTCACACCAATCACCGCTAGTAAATTGACCTTTTACACCCACATATACTTCACAAATTGTACATGACATTTTAGCAGGGTAGCCCGTGATATATATAGATTTCAAACTTCATTGAAATTATTCATTCTGAAACAAAACTGTTGTTATCAAATGTATGATATATACATAGACTCATAGCGATGTTTCTTTCTAATTACCGATGCAGCGTATAGAAATAGATAATTATATGCCGCGGCATCGACATGTGAATGTTTGTATATTCGTTCGGTAAATTTAATAATTTAATTTTGTAATAACTTGGGTGGATATTTTTTTAAAGGAGAAGATAAAATTAAATAAATGATTAAATAGATAATAAATAGGAAAGAAACAACTTTATTTCAGTGAAAGATTTGACGTCCTAAATATAGATTACGATCTCAATCTGAAACTCATGACAAACAAGATGACTTTAGCTTTTCTATCGTCAGCTTCCCTTATTAATATAGTAATATTCCTTTTCACCTGTATGTGGTGCTTATGTCTCCATGCTTATTCAATACTAAAGAGCATGTATAGTGAGTACGATCAATTTTTTAACCGAGACGGGCTACTGACCATTAAGTGGATGCTTTAGTGATTTTATCAACCTCGTTCACAGTCAGCATTTTGTAAATTCTTTGGTTGTTTTAAGGACCTTGTTAGCACATACAGTCTATCAATGGGTCCCATTTCATACCAAATGTTTTTATCATAACTTTGACTACGGAGTAGTCGTATGTCATATTCAAAAACCCTATTCCTATTCAAAAAGGAGAGTACTTTTGTATGGAGCAAGAGGCAGCACAAAGGGACAAGACAGTAAATAAACAAATAAAAGAAACAAATGAAACAAATTAAAAGTATTACTTTCGTAAGCGTTTTCGAAATTTTCCTAGCCAAGTTTCACTTGCTCTTACTTTCGACTCAGGCTTGTTGTAGAAGAAAGATTGCTATTCACTACACAGTACAGTTAAGGTGCCAAATGGAAATATCGGCGAAGTTTTTAGATAGAAAATGCATTCTTTACAAGGATGTGCGTTTCTTTTTAGGACTTTACTATTATCGGACAAATGGAATGTGGTTGAAAACTACATGTTGAGGACGATTAGATTTCTTATTTAGACTTGTCACGTGATGTGGCAGTCACGTGTTTTTAGCAAATATACCTGAAGTATTGAGGTCATCTATAAATTCTAATATTGCAAGGGCATAACCAAGTTATAAATCTAAGTTTAACATATAATTATTTTCAATACTCTTTGTAGTTTGTGAAAAGTGCTGCGAACCTGCTGCAAATTTTACGATATGACGTCACATTGACAAGTGCATTGCGATCAGTGAATTGTTTATAATATTGCTGTGTGGGATTTAACCAACGACAATAATACATGCACTGGTTAGTATTGATGTAGTTTAAAGCTACTAGTATTCAACAGTTTAAAATAGCAAATCATTTCATTTTGTGGTAATTTGAAGAACTTGTATTTTTGTGTGATGTCATAGTAAGCATTTCCCGTATAAATTAGGCCCCGCCTCCTTACTGCAGCCTTAACTGTGCTGCGTATTTCTATATCAAAACATTTCCTATAACCATTGTTTATAGCCCTCCTGGACCTGATGAAATTGTGAACATCCAAAATTTCGCCTATTTATAGATGTACTTTTTTGGCAAGACGACTCGGCCCAACTCGCTTCGTGCAGATGTCAACTACAGGAGTAGTTCAAAGAGGTCTAATGAATTTTTTGAAGTCGAGTTCTTGTGCAGTTGAAGTAGAATTTGGAGAAATAAACCCAAAAGCAAGCGCAGCTTTTTGTGCGCAATAAATATATATAATTTAATTTTGTTTGTATTCTAGCCGCTGATTCGTTAATATCCAAAAAGGAACACAAATTATTTCTGTATAACCTGGTTTGGTATGGGGACACCCCCCCCCCCCCTGACAACCAGCTGAATCATCTGTATCCATACAATCCTCTCATTTTTAGCCCTCGGAATTCATGGAAAATTCCAGATTTAATAAATGTGCCAAACAATAATTCGATCTTACCACACGTAAACAAACAACAAGGCTGCTAGGCCTATTTACCAATTTTCCTCCCCTCGCTTCTCATCACTTCCGGTACTTCCGTTACTACGGTTGTATTATTGAGCGGCAAATTTGAACTAATAAAAAGCAACGAAATTTTACACCCATAGTTATTTAATGATTTTAAAATTAAATTATAAGAAAAGTCTCTAATTCTTGGCCAAATTATTCGAGTATAACCTGGTTTGGGTGAGTTTACGCTGTTTTATAATCCACTTCGCGGTAACCCCAAGCCCTCCGTAGACCTAACTTACAGGGATAATGCATCAAGGGATGAACATGCACTTTCAGACTTGCTTCAGATGATGGGTTTGACATACATTTTCTGGATGAGTGACCAGGTCATAAATTTGGAGCAGGCCCTTACTTCAAGGCCTTCCTGCACCAAGCATGCATGTATTTTACATGTAGGGATCCACACTTTCAGCCTTGCGTCGGATGCTAAATGTGACCTACATTTCCTGGATCAGTGACAAGGTTTTTTGCACCAAGTTCATTCCAGTGAAGATTCAGGCCCTACCTGGACCAAACTTCGATGGGTGATGCATCTAGGGATGCAAACTACAAGTCTTGCTTTAGAAGCTGGATTTGAACTATATGTCTGGATAAGTTAAAGGTTTTGGAGCAGTTTTGTCCCAGTTCAAGTTATAGTCCTTCATAGAGGATAATTGTCCTCATGATACATCAAGGGATGAACACTACCAGATTTACGTTGGATGCTGGATGTGAAGTACGCTTTCCGAATGACTGACCAGGTTAATCTTTATGAGCAGGTTAATACCCAGGTGACTACACGTATAAAGCCTTCCTGGACCACACATGTATAGATTATGCAGTAAGAGATGCACACTAACAGACTTGCATTGTGTGTAAAATCTAACCTGTATTTTCTGGATGAATGACCAGTTTATGTATTTAGGACAATTCCATTTCAAGTAACTGCAAGCCCTACCTGTACCAAAATTGCATAAATGTTGCATGAACGGATGTACTATACAAGATTATAAGTTAAGTATAGAACTTTGCCTTACTTAGATTTGCTAAGGTGAGCTAGGTAATATTTGATTACCTATGTTTTTAATATGAAATTGCAAGTGCGACAGACTTTGATTCTGATGTCATTAATGTGCTCAAATGGACGCCGTCTAGTTGTATTGGTTATCCTTCATTGCATTCGTGTTTTCAATTTTTGCATTTCATGTGCATTTTAATTTAATTGTATAGGACTGACCTGTGCATAAGATGTCATTGCAAACGCATTCACAAGTTATTTCTCTCGCGGTTTTTTAAACAATGACAATGATATGTCCCTATGAAAGAAATATCAAAAACGGTTTGCATTGAACATTGGTCACACAGAGCTTATGTTTGAGCTCAAGAAATAAAGACATATGTAAAGTAATATCGCGGAATTAAAGGGAAACATGGTAGAAAAAAATAATTTTTTTCGTTCACAAGTCGCATTCAGCTTTAACAAAGTTAACTGAGAACTTAGGATCCTCAGCATTATGTCTAACCACGATTTGGGGAGATCAGCAAACAATGTAAAGTGTAGTTTTCTTGTGTTAATTTCTGTCTAAACTGCGCACGATATTTAGGCATCGCTTAAATTACAGACAAACACGTAGAGTAGGGGTCAATAAAATAATATTACATGCTGAAGCGTGTTATTTTTTTCTGGTTCAGATACCAAGGTCCTTTTGTGCTGAATCACAATTCCCCTCCTGTTATCCGGCTACGAATATCTTCAGATCATATCCATAAAGAATCCATTCCATTGACATGTCCATAATAATTTTCATCAAGTAGTTTGTTTAGCGTCGAAGGACTCAATATATGAAAATAGAGTACACCAATTAATTTAGTTGAAGGTAAAATATAGTGGTCGAAGGTGTCTATCCATGAAAACATCCCCTGCTGCCTCCAAAATAGTCTGAATGGCTGTCTCTGTCTCTTACTATGTTTTTTACTACTTTTGTTTGGCTATTTCGTAACATATATGTATAAGGCCGCCATGGTAAGTTTAAATTGAAGACATCTATTTGATATCTTATGACAGATAAAATCAAATACACTCCAGTATAAAGTACTTCACTTCATGACTTCATCGTAGCTAGGGGGAGGGGCTGACAGTTGTTTTTCTGTCTCGTGCCATCCACTTGTTTCTGAGGACTGATACCGAGGTTGTATATCATATTGAGGCTGTGTATCAAACTGAGGCTGTGTTTCATACTGATGCTGTGTATTATACTCGGGCTGTGTATTGTACTGAGGCTGTGTATTATACTCGGACTGTGTATTGTACTGAGCTGTACTTTGTGTTGCATAGTTTTCTGGTGGATAGACAATAACCCTATTGTTCGGATGCTGTGCATAATATGATGCACAAGGATACGCCTGCTGGTTTACCAAGGGAACTACAAAAAAAAAAAAAGAATTTTCAAATGATAAACAATTTAAGATCAACAGCAACCAAAATTTTGAGCCATGTGTTTAATCTTCAAATATTAGCTTAAGCTTTTTCAAACAATATATAATTTTTTTTTAAAAGTCAAAATTGATTAGTTGACAAAAAAGATCAAGCAGTATCAGATGAAAAGAGGAAATGGTAAAAAAAAATCGGCACAAAAAAGCACATTCTTTGAGAAAAGAAATATATATACTTGTCCTTTTTCTAGTCTCTCAAATCACTACGTAGTGCAATGATTTTGCAGCATGCTGTTTTTATTG